GAGGGGGAGGAGGAACCGGGAGACCTCGACAGGGGTACCTGACGTAGTAGGGGACAGACTCGTCGAAACGGACGTCACGAGAGTAAAAAAACCGGTGAAGGGGAGGGTGCTAGAAGGTGTAGTCAGAGGATTCCTCAAGGAAACCAAGGAACACGCACGGAACAGCGCGAGGCGAGATCTTGTCCGCGGAGGTGTCGCGAACAAGTGCCAAGCAACCCCAGACACGAAAACGCGATGTAGCACCAGGGGACCCGGTCCAAAGACTGGTCGGTGAAACCTCAGGCTGAGAGACACGTGGCCAGAGGTTCAGCTGGTGAGCGGCGTACCGAACCGCGTAGGGCCACAAAAAATGGGGGGCACGGGCGTGAGTCATGGAGGTGCGGGCAATCTCCATAACCAAGCCTATGCGGCGCTCAGCAACCCCATTCTGCTGTGGGGACTCTGGAAACGTCTAGGACTGACGGATGCCCTGCTCACGACAGATTCCAGCGAGAACGCAGAGCAAAACTCACCCCCGCGGTCGGAGTGAAGATAGCTGACACGACGACCACGAGTGTCCGCAGTGGTAAGTAACCACCGGATCAGCGTAGAATTCACGTCTGACTTCTTGGCCAGGGGGAACACTGTGGTGTAGCGGGAGTAGTCATCAACGACCACGAGAAAGAAACTCTCTCGCTCAGGGCCCGGGTGCGAGGCGGGGCCCCAGACGTCCAAGTGGAGAGTCTCGAAGGGATCAGTGGTCGGACGAAGGGAGGAGGAGTGAGGGGTGGCGCGCAGCCGACCCTCGACGCAGGGACCACAGGGTGGCGCAAGCGAAGGTGTCAGCAACGGCAAGACACACGGGAGACCTAAGACAAGACGCTGACTAGACATAGCACGCAGGCGAGAAATGGGCGGGTGCCCCATCCGGTGGTGCCACAAGACAGTGGGGTGGGCAAGCGACCGGCAGGAGCACGACGCAGCAACTGGACCAGACACTGGAACCTGACCAGACACAGCTACATGGGGAGACGCTGCAACCTGGTGAGACGCGGGAACCTGACGGGGGATGGTGACAGGGGTCGGGGGCAGTAGCTTCTGCTACTGCTGCTGCTGCTGCCGCCGTTGCTGCTGCCGCCGCTGCTGCTGCCGCTACTGCTGCTGCTGCGGCTGCCCTTGGGGGCCAGTGTGAAGTGTGTAGAGACCAGAGCCCGACTCAGCGGTAAAGGTGGCAAGAGGCGCGTATGTGTCCCCGTCGACACAAACCGCAGTCTCGCCAGAAGGCTCGATCCACACACCCACGTGCTGACTCACGAGCGGCCTCACGCCCACCAAGTTCCTCGAGAACGAGGGGACGTGGAAGCCGGTCAGAGAACCGGAGGGAACAGCCAGGCACGGAAGCGTAGTAGTGTAGCGAGCTGTGACTGGTCCCGAAGTGGGATCGGCCAGTGCTACAGAGACCGGCGTAGGAAGCGGGGTAAGTGTCGTGCGGTCGCGGAAGAAGCAGTGCGAAGCTCTGGAATCCATAGTGAAAGACAGCGAAGCGTCCTCCGGAGCAGCTCCTGGACTAGTGTCTACACAAGTACCTACACTAGCAACAGGCACCTCAGCAAGACTAGCACCTAAGCTAACAACACTTGAGTAAACAGAGTCAGAAGCACTAGATTCAACAACAGCATACATAGCATGAGGAGTTTCTAAAAGATCAACCAACTGAGAAGCCAACATGCCCCACAGAGCGGGGCCGCACGTCTGAACAAGGGGAAGCCAGTCAGGGGCAGGGCTGTCAACGCTGTAGGCCAAGCGAACCGTGTCAGTAAGCTGAGCAAAGCACTGACCCAGTGGGTGGCTGCGGCCACAAGGTTGGCCGCAGTGGGCACCTGTCAGAACGTGATAGGTGCAGGGAGGGTGAACGACACCGCGCTGCAGCTGACGTTGTCCTGACCCTTGCCTCGAAACCTGCTGCTGCCGCTGCTGCTGCTGTGGCTGCTGCGAGGGGAGGGGCTGCTACTGCTGCTGCTGCTGTCGCTGAGTCGGGTACCACGCCGCTGCTCCACCCCCTGCGACTGGCAGACCAGTAGGTGGCTGACGAACCCGGGCGTCACCTCCACCAGCTGCAGCAAGGGAGTCACCGGCCGCTGTACAAGGCGCTCCTCCAGCCCCTGCACTCCCGCCGCCGCCGCTCGCCACGTCACCCCCACCGCCTCCGACGCCTCCGCCCGCACCCTGACCGCCCCTCCTGCCACTCCTACCCCGAGACTGCGAAGAAGTCGTAACAGCAGCTGCGGTCACGTCAGTAGCGGCGGTGGCGAGGGAGGCAGTAAAGGTGGGCAGCTGAGGGACAGTGCACCCGTGGAACAGTGGAGGGGGCACAGCACCAGAGGCAGAGGCTACCGAGCGGAGGTTGCTCTCGACGTCCTTGAGGGCCGACCCAAGGACCTCGATAGTGAGCTCGCTAGGGTGCTTCAGAAGAAGCGCGTCACGAACTGAGGCAAGGCGGTCAGGGAGGCTAGTGGCGATGAAATAGATAGTAATCGCCATGGGGGGAGGGAGCAGTGCAAGCTGTGCGTCAGTGCAAGCAGCGCGGTAGCTAGAATCGAGTGAGCGCAGATGAGTGATCAAGTCAGCGGTGCGCTCAAACGAGGCGAGGTCAGGAAACATGAACGGAAGGAACAGGCAACCAAGAGAGACAGTGGTGGGAGTAGCGTAGCGGGCCTTGATCGCTGTCAGGAACTCACTAGCCGTGCAAACCTGAGTAAAGTGGGTCTCCTCAGACTCAGGGAGGAGGCTCCTGAGGGCGATGCAGGCCGCAACGTCACGCGACTTCCACGCTGTCACGTCAGCACGCTCGCGTGCATAACGGTCACTGTCTGCATGTGTGGGGTCAGCTGCTAAGGGTGCAGGGCCAGCGGGCTCAGGTAGGTCACCGGAAGCGTGCGCCCACAGAGTCTCGTGTGCCTGAACCTGGCTCTCTAGGAGGCGGCGCGCACGTAGGAGCCAGACCGAGAACTCGAGCGGCCTACCCTCAGCGTCAAAGCGCAGGACCCTAGGGGTCGCCATAGCGGAAGCGTAGAGGTGGATACTGCTACTGCCGAAACCCTAAACGCCTAAAGGGCCTGCGTAGGGCGTGACAGACAGTGCGACACGATTGGACAGGACGCGACTGGCAGGGACGGGCGCGACAGGCGCGGACAGGCAGGGCGCACGGGGCGCGACGGACGGACAGGGCGCAGCGGGGGCGCGACGGACGGGCAGGGCACACGGGGCGCGACGGACGGGCAGGGCGCACGGGGCGCGTGCGACGGGACGGGACGGGAAGAGCGACACGGACGGGACGGACGACGCGACGCGGCGGGACAGAAGGGACTGCAGGGGGCGACGCGACGGGACAGCAGGGGCGACGGGACGGGTCGGGACAGCAGGGGCGACGCGACGGCAGGGGCGACGGGACGGGTCGGGACAGCAGGGGCGACGCGACGGCAGGGGCGACGGGACGGGACAGCAGGGGCGACGGGACAGGACGGGACAGCAGGGGCGACGCGACGGCAGGCGCGACGGGACGGGACAGCAGGGGCGACGGGACGGGACGGGACAATAGGGGCGACACGACGGTAGGCGCAGCGGGCGCTAGGGCATGAGAGAGACGAACGCGATAGGCGCTAAGGGACAGTACGGGCGTAACGGGCACTAGGGTACGGGACAGGCTCGGGCGCTACGGACGTGAACGAGAGGAACGGGATCCCACAGGATCCTAACCTAGGCGATACCATGTCAAGAATGAAAGTGTTGGTTTGACTAAGGTTGGTTGGGGTACATAAACCTAACCCTCACACTTGTACCCCCTATAACACACATCACTAAGACTAAAACATTTGACAGGGCGTGGGTTTGTGGTACTCGCTTCAGGGTAAAAATCGCTAAGAAGAACGGTTACCCTGGTGCCACAGTGTGCCTTAAGCGTAAACCTTGGCATATCAGGAAAATCTAAGCTCCAGAAAAAAATACCCTGAGGCATCAGTGTGAGTACCAAAAACCACCCTGATAATCAGGGTATAAGGGTGATTTACACTGATAAAATTAGGCCTGTGCAATAATCCGAAATCAGCTTATACTGTACTAAAAGTGGATAAACTTTTGATTTTTTAGCCTCCGTTGTGGTGAGGAATGTCCCCAAGGCAGATGTTCGCTTTGCCTTCGCCGAAACCTCCTAGCAATGCCCTACATTTCTAGAATGTTGGAACCAAGGACGGCTTTTGCTGCAGACCGCAGCAATGCACAGCGCGCTACTGCCTAACGCCGCTGAGCGAGATTTGCTGGATGCCGTGATGTAAAACGGATGTACTTAGCGCTTATGATGTATAAATTCCATGGTACCAGGGTCGTCTCGTTTTCGCGTGCTATCGCCGTTTCTCCTCTCCCCTTCGCTAGTTCACTGCGTGTAACTAGCCGCGTGTTCGCCATGGCTGCCGCCAGCAAGACCAAGATATATGGTCTGAAGCTCTCGACCTGCACGAAACGGGTTCTTACAGCTCTAGAAGAGAAGAATGTTACGGTATGACTTGGAGTACAATCTCATGTTAGTCGTTACGTCCTAGCGCCGTTGATTTCCTTACCTTCAGCTGTCATCTATACATGCATTGCAGGACTACGAATTCGTAACAATAGATTTGTCCAAGGGCGAGCAGAAATCGGCCGAGTTCAAGAAAAAACAGGTCCGTGGTAGAGCCAGCCAGCGGCATCACACACGTCGCATGATATTGGTTCGATGTTTCCTGCATATCAATCTGCTAGTTATTTTACTGGACCCTTGTTCTCCTTGCAGCCTTTTGGCGTCATTCCTGTGCTGGAGGACGAGGAGGTTGAGCTCTTCGGTGAGAACGATGCAAAGCAGTAAACAAAAAAGCGTGTTTTCCATTATCGTTTTCCCAGTTTCGTCAATGATGCCTACATGCTCGCTTGCGACGCTTCCGCGAATCTTATGCCTGCGTTTTCCGCCACAGAATCCCGAGCTATCGCAAGATATGTCGCTGATAAGTACGCTGAACAAGGCACGAACCTCCTCGGTTCCACCCTCAAGGCAAGACCTTATCGCTATTCAGAGCCTTTTATTATTTCGTTAATTATGATACTCCACACGATGCTGTAGTTGTCACTCGCGCAAGAACGAGGCGCCTGTTTTACGATTCTTTCCTGGTTTACTCTACTTGCTTGTGTGCAACAGGAGCGCGCCCTTGCTGAATCTGTGGCTGGAAGTGGAATCTCAGAACTACAACCCCCCTATTTCTGGGCTGATAGCTGAGAAGATTTTCAAGCCTAGGAAGGGACTGGCTACGGACGAGGTTAAGGCAGCTGAATACAAGGCAAAGGTACGTTCATCTGGAGAGCTGTCCTTTGTCCCTCTCTTCTTCCTTGGCATGTCCGTACCATGAACCCGCCTTGCCCTTTTTCCTTTATCTGCACCTGTCTGCCTTGCGCAATACACAACCTCATCGCCTTACTCCCTTTACCCCCTACATTCCCCCCTCCTCCTTCTTCCCCTCCCCTCCCACCCCCCGCCCTCTCCCTCCCTTCTCAAAATACAGCTTTCTCAAGTCCTTGACGTGTACGAAGCACGCTTGGCTTCAAATGACTACCTGGCTGGCTCCTCCTTTTCCCTCGCGGATCTGGTCCACCTGCCGTACACTGCCATGCTCTGGGTGTCTGGCGATTCTGATGTGATAACATCACGGCCTAACGTGAACAAATGGTGGGAGCGAATCTCTTATCGTCCATCATGGCAGAAAGTATTTGCCATGAAGTAGGCATGTACATATACTACTTATGTCTGAGATGGATGTGCATCATTGTACCGTAAGGCCCCGGATAGAAGCGCAGGCCTCGGATAAGCGCCGGCGCTTATAAAAGGATGACGGCGCTTATATCCGGTCCTCGAATATAAGCCCACCCCCTAAGAAAAGATGATTTATTATAAGCGCATGTTTTTTTTTCATTTGAAAACCTGCAGAAACGAATTTCACATTATCAGGGAAACGAACTACAAACTCGATTTCCCACACAGTGATCTCAACTTTTGCGCGTCTAGTCAGCATGTGCTGTCATTCTGTCAGTTTGAGTTGGCAGGGAATCACTCCCTGCCAAGTTGCGCGAGAATCAGATTCGCGACCCCATATGTTTTCGACTCGATTACAATTGGCAGAACGAGATCTACAGTTTGGTGTAAAACAGATAGAAATTCGTTTTGCCATTTTATAAACGCCGGCGCTTATAAATTTCCTCGATTATAAGCGCACCCCCTAAAAAACAGTGTTTTTTTATACCCCCAGGGGCGCTACTATCCGGGGCCTGACGGTACAAGGTGCGCTAGATAATGCATACGTCTTGTGTAATACTCTTGTCCTACATTGTTTCTGCATAGTAGCGAGCGTATGTTTGCCTACAAATCCCGCTCAAATGAGCATTCGCCGCTTCAAATAGGGGGGAAGCCCCTTTAGTCGTTGGTCAATGGTTTCCAATCCTTTGGAACCGACCACACGTGTGTGCGTACGGCCTAGTCTCCTTGTGGCGTGCGAGTCGCGACCTTTAGGAATCCAAGATCCCAAGGAGTCTCGCGAGTGTTCTGCCTGATCTGGTCTAGCTACTCATAGCACGCGCGGCGCGCTTTCCTGGTTTTACGCACAGCGGTGCTGGATCACGCGCTTCGAATTCTGGGTCGGAAGGCGAGAACAAGACAGCACTAGGTATACTCCCCTTTTCTAAATTGTAGTACGCTGAGAATTCTCAAACGTGATTCAAATACGAAGCAGGTCTGAGTACATCGCGTGCACTCAGGAATTCGTAGCACATTGCGACCCGGAACCCGCCTTTATGGCTGCATATCTCCGGATCGCGATTCCAGCCACCCAACTCTCAATTCTCCACGTTTCTCCCTTCAACGCTGCTTCGAGTAGAGACATCGTTCCAGTGCCGACTGTCCTGCCAGCGACTAATCGCACACGGCGGCGGGATCGTTTTCTAAAACGCCACCCCGAATTCGCCTCCTCAGGGTTCGCAAGCATGAAAAACGCGTTCGTTAGAGGAACAGACGGCATTCCTTTTGAGATTGCCACCCATTCGGACAATGCGTCGACGGCAGCGCTCGCACATGATGGTCAACGGCGGGCGGTGGTTGCGGCCGCAGGCGGATCGAATTCGGATCCAGCCGTTACCTGTGACACTCCGGCCGTCGATCTTGCCGGCCAGACGATCGTTGTAAGCTGCCGGACATCGGAGTCACTACCGATGTTCCTTTCTAACAGGATTTCCTTCGATTCTTAAATCCTCGCAAGGACCAATCATCTTTGAATCCTTTTCGCATGGTCCTTCAAGCATCTCGGAAGTATTGCACTTTCGTTCTCTCACCCCTCCTCTCTGGTTCCTCCGTTAAGCTCGTCCCTCTCGCACTCGTCCCTCTCACCCTCATCCCTCTCACATTCCTGCTTCCCTCCCCATGCTCCCCCTCTCAGGTGGTAGGCCTGGGAGCATCAGGCAGAGCAGCAGCGCGCCTTGCCCTAGCAAGAGGAGCTGCTGCTGTGATCGGCCTGGACAGGAGGACAGACGCGAAGCTACTGGAGGTGCGTGTGTGTGTGTGTATGTGTGTGTGTTGTTGCTGCTGACAACACCATGACATGTGGGTTTAGCGTTGGGGATGTGTGCTCTAGCAGGGGGTGCTGCTGCTGTGATCGGCCTGGACAGGAAGACAGACGCCAAGGCACTGGAGATGCGTGTGTTGTTGTTGCTGTCAGCACCTTGTCACGTGGGTCCATGGTTGGGGATGTGTGGTCTAGCGCGGGGAGCTGCTGCTGTGATTGGCCTGGACAGGAGGACAGACGCCAAGGCACTGGAGGTGCGTGTGTGTGTTGTCTCTGCTGGCAACAACACCATGGCCATAGCATGTGGGGTTTAGGGTTGGGGTTGTACATGCTCTAGCGTGGGGAGCCGCTGCTGTTATCGGGCTGGCTGGACAGGAGGACAGACGCCAAGGCGCTAGAGGTGCGTGTGTTGGTGTTGCTGTCAGCACCTTGTCATGTGGGTCCATGGTTGGGGTTGTGCATGCTCTAGCGCGGGGAGCCGCTGCTGTTATCGGCCTGGGCAGGAGGACAGACGCCAAGGCACAGGCACTAGAGGTGTGTGCGTGTGTTGCTCTTGACAGCACCACCACATGTGGGTTTAGGGTTGGTTGGGGGTTGTTGTGCATGCTCTAGCGCGGGGTCCGGGGAGCTGCTGCTGTGATCGGTCTGGACAGAAAGACAAACGCCAATGCACTGGAGGTGTGTGTGTTTTTGACTGCTAACAACACCATGACTTTGTGAGTGGGTTTAGGGTTGGGGGTGTGTGCTGTATCCAGGCAAGGGAGCTGCTACCGTGATTGGACCGAAAGACCGAGGCCAATGCGTGAGAGGAGCGTGCGCTGTTGCTGCTGTCGACACTATGACACGTGGGTTCAGGGATGGGATTGTGTGCCGTAGCCAGGCAGGGGAGCTGCTGCTGTGGTTGGCCTGGACAGGAAGACAGACGCCAAGGCACTGGAGGTGCGTGTGTTGTTGCTGACAGCACCATGTCATGTGGGTGGGTGGGTTCAGAGTTGGGGAAGTGTGGTCTAGCAAGAGGAGCTGCTGCTGTGGTCGGCCTGGACTGGACAGGAAATCAGACGCCAAAGCACCGGAAGTGTGCGCATTGTCATTTGTTAAGGCATTTGGGTTGTGTGCTTAGCGGGGTATGGGAGCTGCTGCCAGTGACTTGTCTGTATGGGGTTTAAGGTTTCGGGCAGCTCCACAAGGCACCGGTTTTAGAGTTTTAGGGTGCAAAGGCAAATATCTGAGTCAGCACTTCGACTGTGATGAATGCTTTTCTCTTGCACTAAATTTTAGGAGCATAGCCAAATGGCGGCTCACAATGGTATGGCATAAGTTGGGGCTACATTATCATGCTTAATAATTTGTCTCATCCATAATTTGACTCATCCATGATTTGACTCATCCATAATTTGACTCATCCTTCAGGACGATCCGCGTGTCTGGGATGGATTTCCCCCCCCCTCTTTCCTCACCTCATGCAGTTCCTCTACTGTCTGATCAGATGGTAGACATCTGATCTGGGCCATCTGGATGAGTCAAATTATGGATGAGACATGTAACCCCTTATTTCTCCTCCTCTCTCGCCCACCTTTCAGGACGATTAAAGCGTATGGGATGGGCTTCCAGACCCTGCCTCTCCTGCCCCTTCCGCTTGCCTCATGCACTTAGTTTCTGTCTCCCCCCTCTCCCCTCTCTCTCCCACCCTTCAGGACGATTCAAGCGTATGGGATGGGCTTCCAGACCCTGCCTCTTCTGCCCCTTCCGCTTGCCTCATGCACTTAGTTTCTGTCTCCCCCCTCTCCCCTCTCTCTCCCACCCTTCAGGACGATTCAAGCGTATGGGATCGGCTTCCAGACCCTGCCTCTCCTGCCCCCTCCGCTTGCCTCATGCACTTAGTTTCTGTCTCCCCCCTCTCCCCTCTCTCTCCCACCCTTCAGAACGATCCAAGCATATGGGATGGGCTTCCAGGCCCCACCTCCTCTCCTCCCCTCATCTCTCGCCTCTCCACCCATCTGGGTCCCCACCCCCTCCCCCTCCCCCTCCTCCTCCCTCTCCTCTCTCTCCCAGCCATCAGGACGATCCAATCCAAGCGTTTGGGATGGGCTTCCAGACCCTGCCTCCTCTTCCCCCCTCGTCTCCCACCCTTCAGGACGATCCAAGCGTATGGGACGGGCTTCCAGACCCCGTCTCCTCTCCCCCCCTCGTCTCCCGCCTCTCCACCCATCTGGGTCCCCACACCCTCCCCCTCCTCCTCTCTGCCTCCCTCGTCGTCCTCTCCCCTGGTGTACCGCTTTCAGAGCCCACAATAAGCCAGGCACTTTCTCAGGTATGATCTTGCTCGCACATGCATCAGAAGTCACATCAACCCCCCCCCCCCTCGCGTCTCTTCTCCCCGTCCTCCTCTCCACCTTCCTCGTCGTCCTCCCCCCTGAGGTACCGCTTTCACAGCCCACAATAAGCCAGGCGCTTTCTCAGGTATAGCGGGGCAAAACAGCTCCCTGGTGTCTTGTCAGGTTCACCTCTTAAGTTTTTCAGAGATGAGCCCAAAATAAGCCTCCGTGCACGGTTCTCGCTTTCACATGTACAAGCTCCCACATGCCTCAAAAGACTCGCCGATTCCTTTTCTCCCTCTTGCCTCTCGCCTCTCCTCCTCTTGCCTCTCGCCTCTAACCTTTTGCGTCTTGCATGCGTGGTGTGAGCAGGGAACGTGTGTCTGCTCTCCATATCAGTCGTGTTTTCCTCAACCAATGCGTTTTCTTGTTTTCTTTCTTTCTTTCTTTCTCCAATCCCTCCAAACTTCCATCCTCCCTCATTCCTTGTTCCCCTCGCTCCCCACCCCCCACGGTTCAGGGCGTGCCGATGCTGTCTGAGCTGTCATTCGCCTATGACAGCCTGCCACCTGGACTGCCCATGGCTGCCGTCACAGGGACCAACGGCAAATCCACCGTTGCCACGTTTGCAGGCCAGGTGATGATGACGTGGCAGGTGCTGACGTGGAATGTGAGCTTGGCGTAGTTTAGTGTGTACGGTGGTTCTTGGGAGTTGGGACTTGATCAGGGAGAAAGAGGTAGCAAGCACAGGAGTCAGCATGTCTCCGTTTAAACATTTTGGTTGAGACTGCCACCTTTCACCCTTTCCCCCTTCTCCCCGTTCATCCGCTTTTGTTTCATCAACAACCTTCTCAGCATTTGCCCCGTTTCTCCCTTCCCTGCTTTTCCCCTTGCACCCCCTTTGTGAAGATGTCAATTTGTGGTCTGCTTTCTGATTCTTGAGTCGTTTGGAATTCATACTTTTGTGGGTGGCAATTATGGGGAAGGTCCCCTCACTTTCATCGCTTGTCTCCCTTCGCCCGTTTTCACCCATTGCCGAATTCTTTTTCAACTCTCAGATTCTAGAGTCGATTGGAATCCACACGTTTGTGGGCGGCAATCTGGGCACGCCCCTCTCGCTAGCAGTGGCAGCCCTTGTCTCTCACTCTCTCACCCTTCGCCGCTTTCCTTTGATGCCCATCTCTTTCTCCCGTTCTCAGATTCTGGAGTCCATTGGAATCCACACGTTTGTGGGCGGCAATCTGGGCACGCCCCTCTCGCTGGCAGCCCTCGATTTTGTCACATCCTCACAGCATGGTCACAGTGACAGCTCCAAGCGCTTCCAGGTATTGAATGGTTCTGACGTCAACGGAGTCATTTATGAGAATTCTCAAAAGTGTAGGAGTTATGAAGTTAATTCTGTTTTTGAGACGTTCAGTAGCCCTCCAATCCCCATCCACACCACCCTTCTCCCCTCTTTCCCCTCCCCTCTCCCTCCGCCTTCTCTCCCTCCCTCCCCCATTGTTTCCCCCCACTGTGAAGGCCGCAGTCGTGGAGATGAGCAGTGGCTGATCATGGAGCCATGGATGGATGGAGCCATGGCAACTGCAGCATGCATGTATGTCGTCTCATCTCACCTATCCGCTCATCTCCCCACTTCCACCCGACTGCCACTTAATCAGTTGAATCTTTCCGCCCGTCCTCCCCCCCTGTGCAGGCAGCAATGGTGGGGGTGAGCAGCTACCAGATGGATGGACCATGGCAAGTGTAACATGCATTTGGTCTTCCTCACTCTCTCATCCCACCACACCTCCGCCTCCACGCACCCCATCCTTTTTTGTGCCCGTCCGTCCCGTTTGTGCAGGCAGCAGTGGTGGAGGTGAGCAGGTACCAGATGAATGGAGCCATGGCAACTGTTTCATGCCTGTATCTCGACTCACCCAACCTCTCTTCTTTCCACCTCCACTCCCACCCTGCTCTTTCACCAACACTCTTACCCACCCACTACGCAGGCAGCAGTGGTGGAGGTGAGCAGCTACCAGATGGAGTTGCCTGGAAGGTTCCGTCCCAAGGCTGCAGTCATTCTGAACCTCACCCCGGACCACCTGGAGAGGCACGGCAACATGGAGAGCTACGGGGCAGCAAAGTGTCGTCTGTTTGCGCATATGGGGGAATCTGACGTGGCAATCATCCCATCAGGTGTGCGGCATATCTGATTAGAATACTAATTTTGATTCTTATCGAGAGGAGCATGCGGCGGGTGCGGGACGCTGCACGATGCATTGCATTGCACCACACTGCACCACACTGCACCACACTGCACCTCTCTAACTCTCAGCTCAACCTCACGTCGGACCACCTGGAGAGGCACGGCAGCTTGGAGAGCTACGGAGCGGCAAAGTGCCGTCTGTTTGCGCGCATGGGGGAGTCTGACGTGGCAATCATTCCATCAGGTGTGCATGATCCTGCTTCTGATTCTGATTCCAACTTTTGAGGCGCCTCAAAAGGCATGGGGGAGTCTGACGTGGCAATCACTCCATCAGGTATGCACGATCCTGGTTCTGATTCTGATTCTAATTCTATTTCTCCTGATTCTAGCTCCGATTCCGATTTCAATTCTAATTCCATATCTTCATCTGTTTCTGAGTTCACACTTCCCTGGAAAGCAGCTCGCATGTTGAGAGAACCGAACAGTGCGAGTTGACTTTTGAGACGTCCGAAAAGTAATCTTGCATAGTGAGAGAACCGAGGTGTGCGCGCTCCCACTTGTCTGTGCCATCCTGACCCACCCACTCTTGCCACAGATGCTCCTCTCCTCACGCGGCTAGCAAAGGAGGCAGGAGGGCACGCCAGCATGGCATGGCTGGGGAAACTCCCGGGGTGCTCTGTGGACCACGTTGAGAGAACCGAACAGTGCGAGTGAGAGAACCGAGGTGTGCGCTCCCACTTGTCTCTGCCATCCTGTCCCACCCATTCTTGCCACAGGTGATCCTCTGCCCACGCGGCTGGCAGGGGAAGCAGGGGGGCACTCCAGCATAACATGGCAGGACTGACTGCCTGAGTGGACTGTTATGTGCTTGCCTGACTTCCCGAGTGAACCATGCTGGGAGGAAAGCAGACTATGCGCTTGCCTCTGCCTTTGCTTCTTCCTGTCCCACCCACCCACCCACTCTTCCCACAGGTGATCCTCTGCTCACGCGGCTAGCAGGGGAAGCAGGGGGGCACCCCAGCATGGCGTGGCTGGGAAAGCTACCTGGGTGCACTGTGAACCATGCTGAGAGAACGGCTCTTCTGCAGCTGCCACTCTCCACAACTAGTGCCAGTGCTGACAGTGGCAGGGAGAGCAGCAGTGGGGGCAGGGAGAGCAAGGAGAGCAGCAAGGGGCACGGCAGCAGCACAGGAGACCAAGACCCTGTGCTGGCTCTGGATCTGTCCACGTTACAGGCTGTGGGGAGGGACAGCAGCAGTGGGGACGGTGGGGCAAGGGAGAGCAAGGCCCCTGTGCTGGCTCTGGATCTGTCCGCGTTACAAGCTGTGGGCAGGCACAACGCGGAGAATGCGGCTGTAGCGGCGCTGCTGTGCCTGGCGCTGGGGATGGAGAGCAGTGGAGTGCGGTTGGACGGGGTGCAGAGTGCTGTGAGGGTGCTGCAGCCGCCACCACACCGCATGGAGCTGGGTGAGTGAGTGTGTGTGTGTGGTGTGGGCGGGTAGGAGTATGAATGCTGCTGTGCCTTGCGCTGGGGCTGGCTGGAGGGCAGCGGGGGTGCTGCAGCCGCCACCACATCGGATGGAGCTGGGTTGAGTGGGATGAGAATGGCTGCTGGCTAGAAATTGAGGCTGAGCACTGCTGGCGGTGGGTAAGAGGCGTGGCGGCGCTGCTGTGCCTCGTGCTGGGGCTGGCTGTAGGGCAGCAGGGGTGCTGCAGCCGCCACCACACCGCATGGAGCTGGGTGAGTGAGTGTGGTGTGGCTGGGTAGGAGTATGAACGCTGCTGTGCCTCGCGCTGGGGCTGGCTGGAGGGCAGTCGGGGTGCTGCAGCCGCCACCAAAAGCCGCCCCGCATGGAGCTAGGTAAGTGAGTGTGTGTGCTGGGCTGAGTATGAGGAGGCTGACGGCTTCTGGGTGGGGTTGGAGGGGGTGTAGAGGGCAGTTGGGGTGCTGTGATTGCCACCACTCTGCATCGAGCTGGGTGAGGGGGTGTGTGTGTGGTGGATTGAGTATGAGGCTGAGGGATTTTGGATGGGTAGTGCTGCTAGGCATATCTCCTCCTGCCTTGCCTTCTTCCCTCTCCCCTTTCTCCCCTCTCATCCCCATCCTTTGTCCAGTGGTTGTGGATGGACAGGATCGCGCGTGGATCAACGACAGCAAGGCCACCAACGTGGAAGCATCAATGGCTGGGATCGAAGGGCTGGGAGATGAATCTACCGCTGTTATCCTGCTGGGAGGAATAGCTAAGGTGCAACCAATGGTGGGAGGGAGGGAAAAGGAGGGATGGCTAAGTTTTGGCGTGGTAGGCTGTTCATTCATCGCATTTCTGGTCGACACATCAGGAGTGCGTCATTTGGAGTGATTCGGCAAGTTTGGGTGGTCCCTGGTTGAGGTGGTGTTTGCCTCTCTGCCAGCTCGTAGTGAGTCTATTTTTTAGTCGACTAAAAGAATGACTCATTTGAAGTGATTCGGCAAGTTTGGGTGGTTCTCTGGTTGAGGTGGTGTTTGCCTGTCTGCCTGCTCCCCTGCCTGCCTGCCTGCCTGCCTGTGAACGAATAGCATATCTGCATAGCCCCTCCGAGTGCGCCTCTTTCAGTGTTGGCAATTGTTTCTGGTGGTGATGGTGGTGGCGTGTTCTTTTCAATCCACTTGTGTGGTTACAGGTCTTGAAGTCCCTTGCAGCTACAGATGAAGGAGGAGCATCTGTCACCTCCCCTCTGGGCTTCTCCAAGCTCGTCCCAGTGCTCAATCGCCATCGAGCCGTGATTACTGTGAGTGTGTGTGTGGTGTTTGTGACTATAGTGAGTGAGTGCAGCTGCAAGGCAAATAGCTGGAGCATCCATCACCTCCCCTCTGGGCTTCCCCAAGCTCGTTCCAGTGCTCAACCAGCATCACAGCCCAGTTGTGTTGTGTTTGTGATTATAAGTGGTGTTTGTGATTATAAGTGGTGTTTGTGATTATAAAAAGTGTGCTGCTCCTCCCCAGCCCTTCCTCCTGCTTGGTTTCTCCAAGCGAGTTTTGAGACGTCTCAATATTCCTCTTGTGCTGAATCACCCATGCACCGTCGTCACGTTGGCCAGAATGGTACTGTTTAGGCAACACTAATACGAGAAAATAGTGGAGACAACGCTAAAGGGGTGACACGAGTGGGAGCTAGTGAGTGAACACTAATGAGAGGGCAGTGGCGATTGCACTGTGGTGGGCGTTTCTTCTTTCCCAATCATTCCCAGCGACGTCACAGCCTCTGTCTCTCCATCCATCAATCCATCCACTGCCACAACATCCCATCCCATCCCAATCCCATCCCATCCCATCCCATCCCATCCCATCCCATCCCATCCCATCCCATCCCATCCCATCCCATCCCATCCCATCCCATCCCATCCCATCCCATCCCAGGCCATGCCATGCCATGCCATCCCATCCCATCCCATCCCATCCCATCCCAACCCATCCCATCCCATCCCATCCCACTCCCTCCCCATCCACCCTTCTCCCCCTCCTCTTCTCCCATGCTCCCATCAGTTCGGCCAATCAGGCCCGTCCATTGCCAGTGAACTCACAGCCGCGAATCTCTCAGTCGCTCTCACTCAGTGCTCCACAATGGAGCAAGCCATGCATGCTGCTGCCGAGACAGCACTCCCTGGTGAGTGTTGCCGTGACTGCTTTGGGTCCCATGTGATTGTTGAGTTGACCCAAACCAGGCACAGCCTCGGGTGTTTCTGCTTGCTCTCACTCAGTGCACTGGTATGCAGCAAGCCATGCATGCATGCTGCTGCTGACACAGCTTTCCCCGTTGAGTGCTGTTTCTGCCAAAGACTCACAGAGCATCAGTGGGGCTTGCAGGGCCTCACAGGGGCTCACATGGGCTCACATGGGCTCACATGGGCTCGCAGACAGGCCCTACGGTCTCTTGTGTGCTGCTCCACGCACCATCCACCCTTGCACCAACGCCCTTCAGTGTGATATTTCCGGCGCTCCCCTTCAGTAGTCAATGCTTGACAATGGCGTAGGGGAGACATGTGTGCTTGGACTCTTCTCCCCATGTTCAACATCTTATCTGCTCCCCATGTTCAACATCTCATCTGCTCCCCATGTTCAACATCTCATCTGCTCCCCATGTTCAACATCTCATCTGCTCCCCATGTTCAACATCTCATCTGCTCCCCATGTTCAACATCTCATCTGCTCCCCATGTTCAACATCTCATCTGCTCCCCATGTTCAACATCTCATCTGCTCCCCATGTTCAACATCTCATCTGCTCCCCATGTTCAACATCTCGTCTGCTCCACATGATCAGCCTTCAGTACTGTCATTACTTCCCACGCCTCTCTCCATTCCCTTGTCACCGAAGTTTTCACCTCCTCACACCTCTCCCGACACTGTCACATGCTCGCATCACACTCCAGGTGACACGATTCTTCTCAGCCCAGCATGTGCGAGTTTCGATGAGTTTGACAACTTTGAGCATCGGGGGCGTGTTTTCGCTGAAATCGCACAAAATATCTTGGATCAAGTCGTTAAAGGAAATTGAAGTTACGAGCTTTTGGTTGTTGTCCATTAGGATCTTGATTAAAAAAAAAAAAGGCATGCTATTCTGATTGAGTAACCGTTACCTTACCAGTGCTGCCAATCTTTTATTGCAAGGTCGGATACTCGTAAGGAGTTTCAGTTCATTACTGGTGTGTACTGGATCGCGTATGTGGTCGCATACCGGAGTGAACACTTCCTGATGTGTACCTGCGTACTGGTATCAATCCTTGGTTCCCTACTACTTCATTTGTACTGTTATGTTGGTACATGGGATATAAGGCCCCCTCCAGCTGCTGCAGACTCCCGAGAGGGCCCCTGCCAGGATTTTGGGCTGTCCAAAAAAGGAGTAAACGTTCCAGGTGCTGCAGCCTACTTACCCCTCCAATTCCTGATATGATTGGCTGCAAGTCACTTTCCTGCTTGAGGATGATGCCAACTTTGTTTGGCTGCGTTCAATTAAGCATGGCTGCAACAATGGAAAAAGTTGCAGCTGGACAGGCAGCACGACGAGATACCATGATGAGTACATCACCGACCGTCAAGCGAACACATACAACGAGATACCATGATGAGTACATCACCGACCGTCAAGCGAACACATACAACGAGACACCATGATGAGTACATCACCGACCGTCAAGCGAACACATACAAAAAGATACCATGATGAGTACATCACCGACCGTCAAGCGAACACATACAACGAGACACAATGATGAGTACATCACCGACCGTCAAGCGAACTCATACAACGAGATACCATGACGAGTACATCACCGACCGTCAAGCGAACACATACAACGAGACACCATGATGAGTACATCACCGACCGTCAAGCGAACACATACAACAAGATACCATGATGAGTACATCACCGACCGTCAAGCGAACTCATACAACGAGATACCATGATGAGTACATCACTGACAGTCAAAAGAACACACACGACGAGATACCATGATGAGTGCATCACCAACCGTCAAGCGAACACACACGACGAGATACCATGATGAGTACATCACCGACCGTCAGGCGAACACACATGACGAGATACCATGATGAGTACATCAACAACCATCAAGCGAACATCGGCAAATGGATCCTTACAGTTAAAATTAACGCTAATGATGTCAATACTGCCTCATTTCACCTAATTTCATTACCCTTCTCACTTATTGACGATCCAATGTGGTCCCCCCACCCCCCCCTTAACCCCCCCTTCGCAGCAGCCTCCTTGAAAATAAAAGATCTCCTGAAGGGTGTCCCCAAGGACCTGGTCAATATTCGTACCTCGAACAATGGTTCTCGATAAGGCTGTGTGAGTGTGGTTGCTATGCGAGAAGGAGTTTGTCAAATAACATGCACTAATAATGGTCAGGGGAGAGTTTCATCATGCAGAGTAGAGGAGTTAAAAACATTCAAAGTAGTTGTCATGTGTTTCTCACTCGGTTTAGCGTTCTCAGCGGTAGCAGTATGTGGTCTTTGCTCATCAGTGATTTTCCTCAACCCGTGGATGATGTGGGGTCTGCAGCACTGGTTGAATGGATACATGGAACAAGTTCGTCATCACCACGCTGAACATTGTCAAAATGTTATAATGCTTACATTCTGTAGGCTGTAGTGGGGTAGCCCATAAGGGGTACAACCCAATTAGGGTTAGTACTTGTACCAACTTTCTGTTCAATGCATTCATTCTCGTTTCATAGTTTTGACATGGTTTCAGAGCAGGTCCTTCCCTAGGACCGAGTTTTTTTTTTTAGGGCCCAACAAAGAGCTGCCCCAATAGCTGCCCTGCCGCCCTGCCATAACGGCGCGCCGCCCTTAGCAGCCCGCGAGCCGCCACCTGCAGCCAGCGCGCCGCCCCTGCGGCCCGCTCGCCGCCCCAGCAGCTCGCTCGCTGCTCGTCTGCGGCCCTCTCGCCGCCCCTGCAGCCTGCTCGCCGCCCGCGTGCGGCCCGCTCGCCGCTTGCCTGCGGCCCGCTCGCCGCCCCTGCAGCCTGCTCGCCGCCCACGTGCGGCCCGCTTGCCGCCCCTGCAGCCCACTCGCCGCTCGCCTGCGGCCCGCTTGCCGCCCCTGCAGCCCGCTCACCGCCTGCTTGCGGCCCGCGTGCCGCCCCTTGCAGCCCGCGAGCCGCCCTCTGGTGGCCCGCTCGCCGCCCCTTGCAGCCCGCTCATGGCCCCTTGCAGCCTGCGCGCCGCCCCCTTGCAGCCCGCTCGCCGCCCCTTGAGGCCCGCTCGCCGCCCCTTGCAGCCCGTGCACTGCCCTCTAGCAGCCTGCTAGCCGCCCATTGCAGCCTGCGCGCCGCCCCTTGCAGCCCGCTCGCCGCCCCTTGCAGCTCGCTCGCCGCCCCTTGCGGCCCGCTTGCTGCCCTTTCTGCTGCCAACCCTGCTGTGCGCCGCCCTGCTGGCCGCCCTAGCTGTGCGCCGCCCTGCCCTGACCTGCACGCTCTACTCGTTCTCGCGCGCCGCCCTACCTGCGTGCTGCTCTGCTGTTCGAGCGCCACCCTGCTCTGCCTGCTATGGCTTCTCTCAGTGTACTCACTTTCGATCATGAGGGCCGTCCGATCCAGCTGGATACGTGGCTCGACGACTTACAGCTGTACCTACTGAGCGATTCTAGAGACAGCGTTTCGTTGTTTGACCACACGTCTGGAGCCTCTCTCGCCCCTCCCGCCACAGCTGACAGTGCGACTCGCTCACAGTGGCTTACCCGTGACGCTGCTGCTCGCTTAGCCGTTCACAACCACCGGCCGTTAGCCGAACGCGCTCACTTCGAACAGCACAAGATTGCTAAAGCACTGTACGACGCTGTAGTCGCCCGTTACTCC